CAGCTCTAATTTAGTGAACTTAACTGGGATCGCTTCAAAGTGAAGGATACACGAATCTTGTCCTAGTCACATGAATCCCTAAGCATATATGAACACAGAAATTAATTTCGGATTACGAGCATAATTCAGTTTGAATAGAACACTTGACTAGCGGAGCTTAACCCGTTCGCTGCCGAGGACGAGTATACTCGTCTTGGCAACGCACAACACCCTGCCAAAGACGAATATACTCGTCCTACTTTCAATATGTTGTAACATACAGGCGTTTGAATAAGCAAATTTCGAGTCGAGTCCTGTTGCCTTACCATTGCCAACGACGAGTATACTCGCATTCGATTTTATGCGTGTAAATGATTATGTATATGTGCTTTTACCAAGAAATAACAGAACTTTGGTAAACAATGCCACACAAAATATAAACGGCAGCGAATGGGTTAAAGGAAACTTCATTCCCTTACATGAACAACGTTGCGTTTCTGATCTTTCCATCGGTGAACGATAATTCATATTGAATGTATTTGAGTGTGAGAATAGATATATTGATGAGCGATGAATGTGCAATAGATGAATGACGCGACTGTGCGAGCGCGTTTTGAATGAACGTTCGAAGCACTGGAATATTCTAGAAATTGATTTCCTCTATATTGATTTTTATGTTAATAATGTTCGTTTTTTATGAATCTAGAATATTCTAAATACGTGAAGTTGATGCATGGTAAATAGTGTGCGAGTTGTTTGATTTGTGGATCGTTTTATTGTGAGTTCTCGTGAAATGATTATACTGTTTCAAATCAAACTCTCTTTCTCCTACAATACTGTTGTCGGCGAGTTCGCTTTATCTCCTCGATGTTGCAGCAGAGTTAGAGCACGGATAAACCAAACGAATCGAGTGGGTCGCGTGAATCGACCTGCCGAAGGATGGCTCGCGGGATCCAACGTTTCACGGGTAGTCGACTTTAGGAAAATTAATTTGATAGTTAGACGAGCGGGAGAATGGGATTAGGATTCGGTGTAGTCGGGCGCAAAGGAGTGTGTAGCCGTTCGGCTGTCCTTTTATCTCGGCTCGGTGCAGATTAGCGAGGACTTAACACGGTTATTGTTTTCGTAATCCTCTTGGAATCTCCGGTTCGGCAAACATTTTCACGGCTAGCATCGCCGTCTCGCTCGCGCGCCCCCTCGTTTTCGCGTCGCGCCGCCGCGATAAAAATGTTAGCGGGCTGGAGGATAATAATGAAGGCACATCGCGCGCGCGATTCCACCGCGTGTCATTTTTCACACGAGCGAGTGGGAGTCTGCCGCCCATTTAACACTAAAACTACCCAGCTGTTAAACCGAGTTTTTCAAATTGTTCTTTATAGAAACTCGAAGAGTGCATCTGTCGAGACTTCGGTTGATTTACAATTCAGTTTTCGCGGCGCTGAATCGATTTCTGTAGTAGTTAGAGAAATATTTATCCTTTTAATAATTCCAACAGGATATCAGGAATGGCATTTTGGAGAAATCTCGTTTTTATATGAAGACACTTAGCTATGCCACTTCGTTAATTACCACAGTATTTAAAGAAATATTAAGTTTGATTCAAATTGATTATTTAACATATATTACATAACAATTTGATATCTGAGTTCTTCCATATATAGTGATCCAAGTTGAATTGCAAATCGGTGAAATCCAGTTTCCTGAAAATTAGCTCGTTCGTGTCAATCGTTATGCATTATTGTCTCTTCTAAACGCCTTGGTCGAAAACCTTTGAACACATTGAATCAATTTCTAAAAAAAATATATATAAAGAATAGATGGTTGATCATTTTACAGTATTCTCTTGTGCAATATGTCCTTTACATGTCATAATAACAAAAACTGTAGGTACCCATTGAATACAGTCCAGAGATCTAGGTTAATACTGATGAACCGACTTCAACCCTTTGCACTCGAAGCTTCTTCTCACTGACATTACCAGCAACTGGATGTAATTTTAATGGAGAAAGCATATTAACATATAAATAAATGATACAGGCGAAAAGAAAAGTCAAATGTATTTTACTGTCTTTCATCGATTATAAATATTATAATATATTCAATGATAAAATTTTACAGTTTGTAATGACAAATTTCAAATGGCTCTGCTGCGTAGCCCTCGAGAGCAAAGGGTTAATAATCACGAATTACTGCTCGACGAAGTTAATATCTAGACATTCGACATCTTCTTCTCCCTCTTCTATTATTTTTAACTTCGTCGAGCAGTAATTCGTGATTATTAACCCTTTGCTCTCGAGGGCTACGCAGCAGAGCCATTTAAAATTTGTCATTACAAACTGTAAAATTTTGTAATCATTAAGTATGTAATATTAATATATTTCTCTCCATTCTCCGCTACAAGTTACAAACAGCTAATCTACTCTCCAACAATACATAATAAACTAAACACGCGGACGTTAATTCGTCGGCATTCACGGGCCGCGCCGTTGAGTGGGCGAAGAGTATAATGTTGTTTTAGGGGCGCAAGGAGATTGCCGTCAATCACGTAAATGAACAGTTCGCGTGGCTCTCCAGATAAGTTTGATTCGAATCATTGTCCGCGGGAAAATAAAATCGCGATTCCCCTCGAGCTGCGTGATTCGAGTGTAAATAAATTCCGCTCCGTTCTGCCGTGATTGTATCCGTCGATCTGCGATCTCTCCCTTCGCTCATCGCCGCGAGATCTTCGTTGCTCGCATTAGCAGATTACTGGACATAACGAATAGAGATTTCTACGAGTCCGTTTACTCGACCAAAGGGAACCTCCCGCGCTTCATTACGCGGTTAGCGGTCCGCTCACTTATAAAACCCGGAGAAATTGAAATTTGAACAGAGCTCGGCGATGCGCGGATATAAAATTCCTTTTGAAAACCGCGCGCGAGACTAAGCTTACGGAAAAGTCCCTCCAACGGCGCATTAGATTCCAAGAACAATCGGAATATTCAGTAACTTCCATAAAAATGTTCTCTCGCGTCGAATATTTATCAATTTCGCGGTCTATTTTAAAATGTTTACGTGCATCGCCGGGGTGTCCCCTTTACGCGGAAAATCCCGTATAAAAAGGTCAATAATGGTTCACTGATGAAATAAAAATATTACGGTAATGGACCTTTGCATCACAGTATCCTCTCCGCTGGAGAGCGCCGTTAAATGAAGCGATTTAATCTCACTTTTCGGTGCAAGGTTGCAGCTCGCTCGGCTCGGAAACCGTCTAAATAACGCGGAGCGTCACATATTCTACAACATTAAACAAATGAGTTCCTCGATTCGGAGACACCGCTCCGGCGCCATTGATACGCAATTACCGAACCAACTATTCGAGCGGTAGCGAAAGAATTACCGGATTCAATTACTCGATCGTATCTTCGACGGCCTAACAATGGCAGCTCGCCGGCTCCTCTGTCCCCGACGCATCTCCTCGAGCAACATTTAATATCACTTATTCGACGGTATTCAAACGCCGGGCTTTTATCGTTTCCACTACAATTACATAATGGGTATGTTGAAACGGTTGCGATGCACCGGGCGGCGTTATTAAGCACTTCGCATTGTATCTTCGTCTAAATATACGGGAAGTTATAATTGGTCGCGGTTTCGCGTGATTTTATAACGCTCGCTGGCCCGTTTGCGCGCGCACGCTGCATCGCCGAGTTATTCGCGGCGACAGAATCGAATAATAATACTCGTCTCCGTTCGCAAAATGCTAATGAGCTTTCGAAAAAGCTAGCCGGCCTGTACTTGTAACAATGGGCCGGGAAAATGGTAGCTCGGTTTCTAGAATGCCTACGGCCGATCGATAGGCCCGTGGCTGCGGGACGCAGCCACAACCGGAGAGCCAGAAACAGGTGATCGACCTGAGGCTTTTCGCGGAACGTTTGTGCCCGCCCGGAATTCCTGGTTATTACTTTTTTCATCCGCGGCCGCATCAAACGTAAATAGACAGCGGCATGTCTGTCGATGCGGACTGTTAATTGCAGCGAATGCCAGGATTGAAGACAATTTCAGTTTTACGGCGGACTGAAGATAAAAATCTGTTTGTGAAATATTATTGCCGCGGTGAAAGTTGGAACTGCTAAATGTAGCGAATGTCGGGGAAAACTTTAGTTTTATAATAGATTGATGATGGGAGTATTTTATAGAATATTATTGGGCGTCGATGAATTTAGTCGAACGTTCGTCTGTTTTCTGTTATATGGAACTCCGTGATATTCGTACAGAATTATGGAGTTTTAATTATTCTTATTCGTGGAATATTTATGCTGAAGTGTAATTCGGTTAATTATCTGAGACAGATATTTGCTCTAGACAATCCCAGTAACTCCGTCGGAAACCCGCGACACGATTGTCGCCGCGATAATATCGAATTTCATGACTGCAATCAGTCGTCCCTAAATAATGCATTCGATGTATACCTTCTTTATATCTACATTTCAATGGCTGCTCCCACAATGAACCATTATCCACAAATACCAGTTCATCGACTCATTAATCAACAACAGTGTCGCATAATCAACTCAAAATCCCGGCAGCGACGAATACAGACGGAACGCTTCAATCGCGTCATCAGCACTGTCGAAACAATCGACGCGAAGCGACACGCGCGACAGCGAAAAACGTTGATCGGGAAGGCGACCGTAGACCGACCGATCGTTGAGATTCAGAGTCAGTCAGCAAAACGGCGAAACAACTGTCGTTTGTATTCCTTGAAAGCTCGGGAGTGCTCGAGCGACGCGTCGAACTTCTGAGCAGCATCCGTCGAACAGAGGCTTCGATTACTCGTCGTTCGCAACTAGTTCGAGCCTCTCTCTCTCTCTCTACGCGAAAATCGAACTTGCAATTCTTGGTATTACCGACGAACGATTCACCTTTCATACCGCGTCGCTCGTCTCGTACGCGCGCGTGGTTTGTTCCGTGGGGGATTTAAAAATCGTTCCGCGAGCTTTAAGTGGCCGCACTAATCCCCGACTGTCTGGTTTGCGCAGAATGTTTTACGGGAGCTGGAGAAGAAAAAGCCGCAGCTGGACGAGCTGGTTCACACCGCAGAAAACCTTCGGGCGGACACGAACAGGCAGCAGCTGCACGGCAAAGGTAAGTCCGGCCACGGCTTTCCATTCGGACCCCCTTATGAATCTTCGAATTAATGCGGTTTAATGTTTCATGCAAGAGAGAGCCACTTTTACGGCGACGTATTTTCTTATCCTAATGTCTCTCGAGCGACGGAACGTTCTGAATCATTGAATCCTTGATGCGCCACGGATTTAGAGTGTTTTCTTTTGCCACGAATCATTCGTGATGTAGATGCTATTAAGGTGGAGTAGGGTAAGTGCATAAACATTTGTTCGAAAATATTGTTTTTTAACATTTGGCATTGTACCATTGCTATTAATATATTTTAGATATTTTTATATTAGGACTTTATTTCACTAGTTCCTTTGTATTTATTTATCCTTTATTTGCTTTACTCCAAAGCGAAACATATTTGAATGAAAAAAGTATTTTATAGCAAACATCAATAGTAATACTCTTGCCTCACAGTTGTTGGATTTTTTACAATTTCCTTAAAAAATTAAAATATACAAGTGAGATTCGCGGTTTTGTCAATGTCAATCAAAGCGTATTAACTGAAGTATTCGTTGATTTGAATAAATCTTAAAGTATTATAAAACAAATTAAAGATACATGGGTTGAAAGTCAAACTTACTAAAAACTGGGGTGCACTTACCCCACTCCACCTTACTTGAAATTCGGTGTTCTAGGGATTAACTTTGTTAGCGTCGTATCGAGACTTCCCAGGTGCATTTTGGATAATTGAATCTTTGTTGCACTAGATGTTTAACTTGCATTTGCTCATCGAATTTCCGGCATTTATCGGAACTCGGATTTTCCGAGTTATCGACATTGAACATACTGACATCGCGCTCCTAAAATTACTTTTACTAAACTGTTACTTTCAATTAATACTTTAAAACGTTAGGTAGTAAGTAATTCAAACCTAACGTTTATAAGTGTTCAATTTAAGTATTAATTTTAAGCATTAACCCTTTGCGGACGAAGACTTTAAAGTACACAAAGCTTGCAACGTATGAAGCTAAATTATCGAATGCTTAAGCAAGAGTAAAAGAGGAAACTATTATTCGCAGCTTAGTATTCCAAATATGAAAATTTCATCTGATCGAAATGTCGACATTCGTCAAAGGGTTAATTGAACCATCGAAATTGAATATACTCTATCAGGTTCCTAAAATTACTTTTACTGAACTATCACTTTCAGTCAATACTTAGAAGCGTTAGGTAGTAATTAGTTCATGCCTAACAAACAGAAGCACACAGAAAAATATTGAGGCATAAAAGAACGACTTTCCTCTGGGTTGAAACGTTGAAGTCTCGTTACTGGATCCGTCTCGCGAGTTCACAGGTAATTCGATTCCCTCGCCAGCAGACAGTCTCCGATTGCGTCCCAGCTATACAATTCGATCATTTAATTATTGATTGGTTACTTCGCTAAGGGGAATGCAAAATTGAGGCTGTCCGCGCGGTTAAATGCTCGCAGAGGGTATTCGTTGAAACTTTATATCTAATCGGCCTGGTAAAGAGGACGCCTAACCGCCGGTGATCGATATTCGTATCGATATCCGGCGACCTTAATAAGTTTTTGTCGCCGTAATTGATACCGGGAGCAGCGGCGGGCTCTGCTTGCCAAGCACTTTTCGGCCGGGGCGAATTTCAGAAGTTTAATTATCGATCCTGATTGCTCGGCCCGTAATAAATCGGGCCATCTGTTCCTCGAGACAGCGTTGCTAAGACGGAGCGTCCCGCTCCGCGTTGTCTCTCTCGATCGTTTCTTACGTCGGACCGAATGGATCGTATGCAAAAGATTACCGGCGTCAGCGGAACTCTTATAGGAACGTTCTCGATTTATCCCGCGTCCCGTGCACGGGCCATTTTGAAGTCGCCGGGATTTTATGAGTACGATCTGCTGGCATTAGCGCCAGTCGAATAGACTGATTTTTATTTTTCGTCTGCAGCAGAAATTGCGACAGTGCTTTTTTTATTTGCTGTTCGATTGATTTTTATCTTAGAATATGCATTGCTACATCGATTTCATCGTCTGTTTCGTAGATAATCGTTGACGAAAGAAATCTGCAATCGTTTTCTTTTAGTTGATAGTTCTAATTAGAATCGAAAAAGTTATATTGATATCAATATTAAGAGGACAAAGTGAAAGTTACTCATCATCGTAAATAATACATTATCTAGTTATCAAATTTCCATCGTTCACAGATATAAAATATAACTAACAAAATTAATGTACCTATAGGAAAGACCAAAACCAGTCACGTCTCGTACATTAATACATTACCTAGTTACCATAAAAATTTCAATTACTCACAAATACGAGATCTAATAACCAAGAAAATTAATTCAACTAAACCGAAACGAGTCACGTCTCACCACGAAGATCTAAATAATTTCGAAAGTCTCGTCCACCTTGGCCCCCATTTTATCATCGCCCTGTAGATGCTGCTTACGCAGGGACCGCTTGTCTTCCGACTGCAGACCGTCTTCCGGCAATACTTTTTTAATCACCGCGCCCATCGAAGAATCAATTATCAACCGTGCTCGAAATTAGTTTCGCGAGGCGGCCCCGTTAATTCGTTTGATTTCGGAACTTTTTAAATCGCCGCGGATCCGCCGGGGATCGACGCAATCGTGGGTCGAGGCGGGAGATTAACGACGGCGCCGCTAATTGTTTCAAGAGCCCTGGAAATTTCCCGCCGTCTCCCTCCTTCGTCCTTTCCTCTCCTCCTCTTTCTCCCGGCCGCCGATGTCGCATTGTTCCTTCTATATTAGCGTGCCCGGTACTTGTCAGTCCCGTCTGCCGCTCGTGCATTACAGCCAGACGATTCTTTCGTCCATTGTTCCCCGCGACCGCCCACTCTGCGCGAAATAGGGGGGAAAGGGCTCCCGTGCACGCCGTATCAACCGGTTGCGATCATCTTTCGCGTAATGCGTCGCGTTTAGAAAACACGCTTTAGGCACGCCTTATTTATTTTCAATACACTCACTGGAAAATGCCCCCCATTGTGCCGCGAACGTAGGAAACCATGACTGCGATGTGTTTATTCACCCTTGGCGCTCGAGGGCCGCCTTACAGTCGCTGATTCGACGTAGCGGACTTATACAATTTTCAATTCAATATTAACCGTTTGGCTGCTGACGGTTTTTGACATGTGCCAGAACTGCGGCACTAATTGCGCGTGTATGGGGAAAAATGGAGAACACTTTTCATACAGTAAACTCACTTATATTGCATTGCAACAAGAAAAATTGTTAACAATATCATTTATTTACTTAAATTTGTTTTAATTCATTTTGTGGATGGAATTAGTAAAAACACAGTCTTGGCATAACAAAAAACTCTTCGCAATTTTGGAAAAATATAAAAGTCAAACGGTTAAACCTTGTGTAATGTATCAACGCATAAAACGTCGAAGTAAAATAGTTCTGTCTCTTAATTTACAGAAGATAATCAATTGTGTTAGCTGCGAAAAATATCGCTAATATTTAGTCAGAAAGTAATGAACATTTTTAATGAAAAATATTGTCGAGTGCAAAGGATTAATTTCTTCTGTTCTCGTGGAATTGATGGAATTCTTGTATCGTTGGAGCTTAATGAAAATAGAATTTTGAAATATTTTCAAGGTACGAGTTTAGATGGAAGTTAGGATTATATTATAGTATATTTTCTTTTATTTTTGTTTTATTCATGGGATGATCGAAATCTGAGAGATAGTTAGTGGTATATAGTGTCTAAATTTAATAGATTGTCGAAGTAAACGTAGAAGCTGAGGCGACCATTCATATTTCTTTCAACAGGCACGATAATTCTGCACAGAGGTAATCAAATAATTTTTAGCTACACGTATTTCTTTAGGTCGTCTAACTTTGTGAAGGTTGCGCTGAAAAGCGCTTTATCACGGTAATCTTTCACCATCAACGAAGCTTAATGGTTACCGTATTAAAAAGCGACGGAATGATGAATAAGCGGCGCACAAAAAGAATTTCGTGTCCATGTCCCGCTTACAAATGACGAGCAGCTGTAAAACACTGTCGTGTGTTTATGGAAATGTTTCATTATACGTTCGTACGAGAGGAATCGTAATAAAAATTTGTGTTTAATGGACCCGTAACTATTAAAATTAGAAAAGCATAAAGAATGAACATTTAAGAAGTTCGTGTAAATTAATAAGAGTAACAGCGTTCACGAACGTGAAGTGTAGTAGTAAGTAGTAGTGTCTACCAATGATCAGACACGAGTTACTTCTGCTTAAAGAGGCATTTTAATTCATCAGTGCCAAACAGGCAAGTTACTTTTCACATTTTCTTAGTACTCAAAGTCCCAGCAACATATTTACAAAAGATGTAATCGAAATTTCAAGTTTTAATGAAGTTATAGTTGTTCGAACAGAGGAGCACGCGAGAAAGCCGTTTTTCTTGCAACTACATTTTTCGAAGCGGTAAACATGATTTCCCCGAAACGATTACAGCTATCAATCTAAAACTTTCACAGCACGCGCGTGTAACGTCTCCCTATCGTCCGAGCTAAAACAACATAATTTAAACTACTTTAAAATTAAATCATCGATTCGCCCATGTCAATAGTCGCAACAGTCGCAAATTTCCCAAGTCCAGTAAACTTTCCAACGAACAGTCAATAAAACGGGATTAATCGAACAAACATATTTCATACGTGGAAACTGATATTATCAGCAGTTTCAATTCGCACGGGGAAAAAAGGATGTCCATGGGAAGCTCGATTTTCCACGTGCGCAGCTGAAATTGCCGCAAAACCGTCTACCGGAGGCACCATATTAAACACCAGTTACGCCCGGAGAATGCACTTCCGGTATTCCCGTCGCGTGGCAGACGAGGAGAGAGAGAGAGAGAGAGGCAGTCTCGTGAAAGCTCGCTTAAGGTCGAACGCGCGATTTCCCGCCGGCAAGTTCGGCTCAGATCTATTTTTAATCCGGTCAGTGGCCCTCTAAAAATAATCGTCGGCGTTGAAAGTTAGCCCAGCCTGTCGGGCA